GGGTGTATGCATTTTAACTTCCCAATAAATTTTTTATATTTCGATACAATGTTCGCGTGGGGAGGATGCCTCTGGACTAGAGCACGATGAGTCAACACAGGCCCACTCTGTGAAATCACACTGTCGCTCTGGCTTACACCTACTATGGCCATTTTGTATTATGCGTCACGCTGATTCTCCAGCCTTCAATTGTAGGTAGTCACGCCAGTACACTGTGTATATGCGATTCCACTCGTAGTAGCACCCATACATTAATGAGAAGCCTATTTTGTACATGCTTCATACGCATTTGCTAACACTGCTACACATGAATGTTTATTTTATTGGTTCACCAGACGAAAATATCTCACTCAAGCTGAAACTCAAATGGATGCGTTCTCTTGACCACCACACTCACACGACAGGTCACTCGAGCGCAAATGACTGACTCACTCACTCACTCTACACGCATTTCTCATACTCACATCCAGCTCCACCACTGTCACTCACACATCACACTCACAGCACCATTAGCTATGTCATGATAGGAGGTTCCAGGTTGACGATGAGGCGCATCACTAGATAATTGTGCAGAGCCAGTTGTCAGTTTTTATGCATGAGCTATATGTGCATTGATAACAGCATTTTAATAATTAGCTTTGACGCCATATTGTAACTCACATGTAGTGATAGCATTAACACCTGTGAAAATATTCATCTACCCCTCATTTTTGAACAGTACGAATGCCTGTCATTACTTTGGATTAACACACGATCGAACATATGGGACACTCTGCGACTTAACTCATTTTCATACGATTGGGACAGCCCACTATCACATTTTATTTTTTTTTTAAATGTTTTCGGTCTGTTTCCGGTATTTGTTAATGACGATGTGATGTGAGATGTGAGACTGGAATTGCACAGGGGAAAATAACGTATCTTTAGATGCGGATTTTGTTAAACTAATACGTTTGCGCTGTGGACCAACACTATACATTGACGGGGAAAGGGGTAGCAATAAAGATAACACCATTAAACAGTTACACAACATAACAGAAATAATATCGATAGCAGCGTCCCTAGCAACCACCTTGGTAACAATGAAAACGTTCTATGGACGCAATTTCCTGAAGTAATCTTCGTAATAACTAGCAAGATCATGTACATCCACTGCACACATAATCTGAAATAACAACTCATATTTCTCGCATCAAATGACATCAAAACGCATTTTAATGGCCAAACTAACTTTAAAATAGGCATTTTCCACCGAGAATAAAACGAAGTTTGGCCATGTTTTTTTTTTCTGCAGGGAGAAATTTGAAGATCACGTGACATAAAGACGCCAGCCATTGGAATGAATGGTGAAAAAAAACGGGGTTTGTCAAACAGAGTAGATGGTGTAGTCCTAAACGATAGCCGGGGATTCTGGGTAGTGTAGTGTCTTCTGCCATCCTTTACTCCGAAAAAATATTTGTTTCTCCGAATCGAAGGGGAAAAATACAAAAGCATTGCACACAATTTAAACCAATCAATGTTGTGTAATTAACAAGGATAATCTGGTGTTCTTTAGTCGATGAGTAGTGCAGATATCACTGTAAAATCAATCGACAGTAAGGGGAATACTTACTTCCGGGTGTACAATTCTCCGTTATCCAATGGGAATGGACGCTCACATTGCCTTTAAGGGCAGCCGACACAAACGAATGCCGTGTTTCCATGAGCGTCAAATCCCGCCGCAGATGGGAATACATTGCAATCAGTTGAAAGCTATTTGCGTCCCTTTATGAAGCTGAAGGAGCCTAGGAGCGTGAATATTCTGAGTCATAGAGAAATACTATTAGCCGCATCCCTCTGAAGAAGAGTATAACATTGGAGAATTTGTCCTTACAATTCAATCTGGCTTCGTAAGTTTAGCAACATGAGCTGTAACATAGTCGGTCATTGTTGTTATACTAAACTAGAATGGAAATAATTTCAGTAGAAAAAGGGTTTCATGTCCTTAAGGGTTCCAAATGGTGTGTAGTATTTGCATCTGATTAAAAGTGTGAGGCTTTTAGTCTTTGGATCCAAACAAAATTAAAATAATTTGAATGTAATCAAGTATTGTCCAATGCAGAAACAAAAGTAGTTATTCTAGCTATTAAGAGCGTCAAAAAGCAGGTTAAATATAGTTCCAAGACATATAATATGTAACCAATCAACAATTTGATTAAGATTAGAAATAACAAATATATGTGTAAAATAAACTTTAAATCCATACAATGCAAATGTTTGTTTGATGCAGTTGATAATTGATGTATTATATGTTATTTTCACACAGGTGCAAGGCCATTGTCACCGGGCACATCCCATGTCTGTGCAATTAAGTCTGGTTGTTCATGCTGAGATGGATATGCATCTGAGCATATTTCTGTCACACCAGGCGGCAGAGTGCAATTTAGGCATTACATTTAGCTTCTGTTGTCTCTGGCCACCATCACAAAGGCTAACATAATCGTTTTTTGGCCTTAATTAGCAGATATGCACCCATACAGAACTCTCAATTACCACAAATCCTTCTCTGTTCAGTTTCCCTCTGTTGCCCTGACATATCATATTTAAACTAGAACATACCTAAATACAAATGAAGGTTTACATTTTGTTGATTTAAATGCAGCTGTCGAATTAGAGTGTCGATGGAGCACACATAATTCTCGCTAAAATCTAAGGTTAAAATAAAATAACACATACATGACTTTACAGACTAACTTGTATTCTGTTCACATTGGAACCCTTTTAAAAAACGGATTAACACTCATCTAATTTAGTCATTAAAGATAGTCAATATGAGCCATGCTTCCTGTTTGTGAAGACACCACTCGTCGCTTTTAAGTTCTCTTCAGGATTTTGGCCCATTATCCATTATCCTGACTCCTTTCCTCAAACAGGTGTACAAATGACTCGTACATTTCACTTCAAGCACTCCTTGTATAACCCACTACTCTTGCTCCATTAGACAGACCCCTTATCAAATAGCTTGCCTTGATGGACACTGCCAGCATTTTAGAAAATGTTTCTAATACACTGCAATCTGATTTATCAATATCTGTTCAATCTTATGCCTGAACTTTAATCATGGGCACTGATAATATAATAATAGTTTTTTTCCATTTAAGTTTTCAATGTATGCGCTGTCACGGGAAAAATTAAGATTGTTGACAGTGAACAGTTTTCAAAAGATTGACACTTTCTGAATATGTATGTATTATGTTGGGAAAAAAGCCATGCAGTTCCCGACCAACAAAATAATGCAAGTAATTTGTATGTTAATGTGATTTTAAGGAGAGGCATAGCAATTTGATGGAGAAACGTCTAGTTATTGGTTACTATTTATATAATCACATTTGGAAAAAAATACAGCTTTCCTGATCTTTTTGTTCCGTTTCTATATTTTTCAAGAACGGTATGTGTATGAAAGCTTGTTATTATTTGTCTTATTTGGTTGGTGATGGAACATTTTAAGAGACCCTATTATGCTTGTTGGGTTTTTCTCAATATATAGGTTTTTGTGGAAGTAAATAGTTTGCAGGTTTGCAAGTTCCCTCCTGAGGGAGTTTCTCTCCCACACTCTCCCCCCCTGCCTGAAAAGCTTTGACAAAAATATTTTGTTTACTTCTTTAATATGAAGACATCACTATGTAAGAGAACGTATGAGACAAATAAAGCACTTTTTGGACATGAAAGCATGTAAACATGTCAGGATAGATGCATAAAATACAAATATGGACCTGAAAATGAGCATTTTATGTGCTATTTAACTTTTGATCAAAAGTTCAGGAAGGTTAAAACAGATGGTATATAAATCAAAATACCCAGATGGATCAAGGCACTATTTTGTTCCTAGATTCCTTTATGCTTTGTGTCTTAAGTATTTTTACAATCCAAACTAAACTTATATTAAAATCAACTGATAATTCCCTTGGCCATGGACAACCAACATTCAGGATTTGAACACCATGAAAAGCAGAAGATTTGCAATTATATATTGCTTTTGGAAATAAACTTTTCAGCAATTGTTAATTGAATGTACTGTTAATTTATGATAAACACACTTGTGGTCATAATTAATGACACAAATGTAGCTAATTGCTGAATGAACAATGTGCAAAAACCAATAATTTGGCCTGAAAACATAAGAAGCGCCAACAAGCTTGTTAAAAGTGTGAACAAACTACAGTATCATCTGCAGAATACTGTTGACTTTAAACCACAATTTCCTGTGATCCATGAAAACAAACGTAAGATGGATGGATGTTCTCCATCAACAAGTTTGAATTAAATGAGCAATAGTTAGAAGAGCATGTGAGAATATTTGTGGCTCCAGTAGTGTAATTTCTATTTAATTTCCCCACGGAATTGCTCTTTCCCTGATTAATGTCATACATTTAAGGCAATTTAAGGTCAAACTGAGATTATGGTCATTACAATATCTCATTCCTTTAGGGAAGGAATATAGACTCAACACTGTCAAACATGTTTCATATGTCAAGGTAGAAAATAAAGAAGGATTGGATATGAAGTATAATTAAGTTAATATTTAGAAAAGGTCAAGCCTGAAGGCGTTTTGAAATTGCTCACTTAAACTTAGGGAGAACCGAATTATGATACTTAACCAAAGTCATTATGAAGCTGCTTCACCGAATAATGAAGTGCACTCTTGATTCAGACAGCCACATGCAGAAGATTACAATGTTAATGAGCAGTGGGAGACATAGAGTATGGTCTGATACTAATGGCACATTTCCACTGCAGCGGGGTAGCCCCGTTTAAGCGTCCTCGCTCATGCCTCGGGCTGCCTCGCTGGCCGTCTGAGGCCGTGGCACATTTCCATTACAGTTTAGGACCTGGGGTAGCAACGCAGTGTAGGCGGGGCGATCGGATTTTTGGCGGGCCTTTTGGGCGGAGCAACGCTGGGTAAAACTGCAGAGGATGTGGAAGCGATCGTTTACTTGTTTCTTGGTGTGTGGCTTGTTATCACAGCAAGAAGGAAAGTGATGTTTAAAAGTAGGCTGCGTATAGCAAGACGAGATGCAGAAGAAGCTGACGAGAGAGTTTCGGAAGTCCTACAATGCTGCAGAGACTACAACAGGACTAGACGACAACGCTACTCGGTAAGCTAACGTTCGCTAACTAGCCATGTGTTTAGGCTCACGCTCACAATACGACCAAAGTGTTTCAAGTATTTAATTAATTGTAGCTACCACTTCAAATATGTATGCTTTTGTTTGTGTATTTCAGAAGTTACGTCGCCGCAGACCATGTGAAACTTGCGAAATCCATGGTGCTGACATGCTGTGCTCTGCGAGAGTCATGGAGAGGACTATGATGATGGGTGGAATGCACCAGCAGCAGCAGAGCCTGGGGTAGCAGTGGCTCAAGGTGCAGAGGAGGAGGGCACTGACATCAGAGAGGGTTTGATGCGCTACCTGAATACCTAAATATGCATTGTATTGTATTCATTGTATTGAACATAAATACATCTTTTTTTTTCATATACATGTGTTTGTCAAATGTTTTAAACAAAAATGTTATCTGAATTGAATATTTTGTAAATATTTGAATTTCAAGCACCAGTAAGTACTGCCCCATAATAAGAACATTTGAGGAAATATCAGATTATGAAAATAAAATCTTTCTAATAAATTAAGCGAATATCAAAGCTAACTATAAACATAAATACTAAAGTGTAAAACACAGCAAAACTATATTCATAAATGCAAGTGTAAAATAGTGTGGACAATTGTAAACATAAGTATTTACCTTCCACATTTTATCAACTGTAAAACATGTTTACCTAACCCTCCGATGTTCATAGGTTGTATTTTATTATATTTTATATTGAGTTAGAAGAGTCTGCACGAATTTTCGACACAGACTTCGCCCATACCAAAGAAGAAAACAAGAGAGCGAGAAACTTTATATATTCCTTCACAAACAAACTCAGTTCATCTTGCTCCGCTAATGTTAACCCCTCGGTTAAAGATGATGTACATAATACATTAAATAGTACATAAGAATTATGTAATGTTTTATTTGTACATTATTACAAAATCTCCCCTCCTGGAGTTTCGAATCGTTTCGGAAGTTAAAAGAACCGAAATTTAGAAAGAATTTTTGTATTGAAATATAAAATACCCGAAAAAGGTTGAACTTAACGAAAGAAACGTACAATAATAAATAATAATAATAATACGAATACTAATAACGAAATATTTAAAGTAGATACAAAGAAGAAGAAGATTTAGTTCGTAAATACACTTAGCTCAAAAAAAGACAACGCCACGTTAATGTAATAGTTGTCTCTATTCTATCAGTTTTTCGAAGAAAATACCACCGTCGATATGTTATGTTTTTTTTCAAAACTACTTTTTCCCGTACGGTAATTTGGTAGTTTAATTTTCTTACTTTTGACAATAACGTTCGGGTCGTATTATACGTTAGTAATAGTTGTTTTGTCCTATTCTATTCAGTTTTTTCAAGAAATAACCACGTCATTATTGTTATGTTTTTTTACAAACATAGTTTTTCCGTACGTAATTTGTTATGTTTATTTTTTACATTTTGCATAACGTCGGCTCGTTTTATATAGTCCGTAACATTTTTCATTTTTATTTACTTGTAAATTTCTTTATTTATTTCGTCTCTTCATGTTTTACGAACGTAAATTTTTAATTTGATCTATGTTTTTATATTCATACATGTTTAATGATTAATTCTATAAACTTTCATAGTTGCCTTTCCTCTGCCCGGTGCAGCCGACGGTGGCAGCCGACGGTGCAGCCAGACCGGTGCAGCCGACGTTCAGCCGACGTGCAGCCGACGGGTCAAAGGGGATCGTGGAGCGGTTCTACACGGTCCTTCCGGATCCGAACTTCCAGAGACGAACTCGCCTCGGAGGAGGAAGAGTTCTGCCGGAGGAGGGAAGAGTTCTGCCGGAGGAGGAATAGTTCTGGCGTAGGTTGAGGGTAGCGAAGGCCGAGTCGTCTACGACAAACGGGTCAGGTTCCGGCAAGGACGGACCGCGTAAACGACAAGTACCACGGGCAAGGAACGACCCGGGCTAGGAGAGAGGGAGCCAAAGGAGAACGGACCCCTGTTATGTATTATTAATCGTTTGTTCCTTTTTTGTGTCCTGGTCCTGTGTCCAGTGTGTTCCGTATATTCTTACTGACAATATTTGTCTTTGTTGTCATTCCTACTTGATTCTTTCAAGACCCGGGATCTTACAAAATGTGTACTTAACACTTTTACTTAAATGTAATTACAAGGTCCGGACAACTATTACTTGATATTTATCATACATATACTATCCTGCAGGTGGTGTTGACACGAATTGATCAAATTCTGGAAATGAAACATTGTCCTCGTAAAGGTGTGTCCACCTTATCGAATAAAATTTAATGACTGCTACCCTACTAGGTTCCAAATTTTTTTTTTGTGTTAAGGTCAGCAAAGCCCGGAACAGATAAAGAATGGATCTTGGTGTGCGGACGACGCCACAGCCACTACCGTGATGTCGCAAACCACCAACTCAACCACAGCCAGATAGCCCGACCACAGACCACCCAGCTCAACCCCGCAGGTAAGACCTAAGCTACTGCTACAACACCTGGTTAGGTGACGGTAGTGGGCAACAAAGCCCTTACGAAGGGAGGAGTGATCAGGCTTACATTAGTAGATCTTGTCGTTTTAATGAACAATTAAATGTGTTTAGTGACGGTCGTGTTATGATTTATCCGTTGTATTGATATCTTTTATTTTGACTTGCATTGTTACCGTTGTATACCCACAATCGTTTTGTTTCGAGGATCGATTCCGATAGACCGGATCCGATAGAACAGATCGATCGATACATCGAGAAGCCCCGAGGTATTTTCGTACCCAACAGCTTGGTAATTCCATTCCTCATTTTATCCTGAAGAAACAATCTTCACCCGGCATGGAAGCTCGAGCGGGCCGACCGGAAACAGTAGAGGGTTACTGCTACATCCCATGCAGCTAGCTTGGAGGAGCCAGCTGGTGCGACAGCCGTAAAGAAACTGCAACGGTGCGTAAAAGCTACTTGACGGACCGTCATATTTTTACCGACTTTTCCAGTTCTTTTTACGTGTGCTCACCAGCACCCAGCTGGGCTCTAGCCCAACTGCTCGCAGGGATGAGAGTCAACCCCTCTCGGACCTGAGACTTTTCGAAATCGCCCTCGAGCTTTCCATGCAGAGTGAAGAGAATTGTTCTTCAGATAAAATAGGAATGTAAATTACAAGCTGTTGGGTACGAAATTACCTCGGGCTTCTCGATGTATCATCGATTCCTGTCTATCGGCTCGTCTATCGGAATCAGGATCTCGATAACAACGATTGTGGTATACCACGGTAACCAAATGCACAGTCAAAAATAAAAGAATATCAATAACAACGCATAATCATAACACGACTCATCAAACACATTAAATTGTTCAGTAAAACGACAAGATCTACTCCTTAATGTAAGCCTGACACTCCTCCTTGTAAGGGCTTGTTGCCCACTTACCGTCACTAAGCCAGTGTTGTAGCAGTAGCTTAGGCCTTACCTGGGTTGAGCTGGTGTCTGTGGTCGCTTCTTGGCTGTGGTTTGAGTTGGTGGTTGCGACTCACCGGTAGTGGTGTGGCGCGCGTCGCACACCAAGATCCATTCTTTATCTTTACCGCTTGCTGACCTTAACACAAAAAAAAATTGGAACCTAGTAGGTAGCAGTCATTAATTTATTCGATATGGTTGACACACCTTTACGAGACAATGTTCATTTCAGAATTGATCATTCGATGTCAACACACACTGCAGGATAGTATAGTATATAACATATAAGTAATAGTTGTCCGACCTGTATACATTAAGTAAAGGTGTAGTGAACATTTGTAGATCCACGGTTTGAAGAGAATCAAGTAAGGAATGACAACAAGACACAAATATGTACAGTAAGAATATAGGAACACACTGGACACGGACAGGACACAAAAAGGAACAACGATTTAATAATACAATAACAGTGGGTCCGTTCTCCTTTGCTCCTCTTCTCCTAGCCCGGTCGTCCTTGCCGTGGTACTTGTCCGTGTACCGGGTCGTCCTTGCCGTGAACCTGACCCGGTTTCGTAGACGACTCGCCTCTACCCTCAACCTACGCCTGGCGAACTCTTCCCTCCTCCGGCAGAACTCTTCCCTCCTCCGCGAGTTCGTCTCTGGAAGTTTGGATCGGAAGGACCAGTGAGAACCGCTCCACGATCCCTGACCCGTCGGCTGCACCGTCGCTGGACCGTCGGCTGCACCGTCAGTCGGCTGCACCGTCGGCTGCACCGGGCAGAGGAGGCACTATGAAGTTTATTGGAATTATCAATAACATGTAATATATAAAAAAATAGACAATTAAAAATTTACGTTGTAAACATGAAAGAACAAATAATAAAAGAAATTTACAAAGTAAAATAAAAATAAAAATGTTACGGTACATATAAATACGACCGACGTTATGTCAAAATGTAAAAATAAACATAACAAATTACCGTACGGAAAAACTATGTTTGTAAAAAAAACATAACATATGACGGTGGTTATTTCCATGAAGAAACTGAATAGAATAGAGAAAAACTATTACTTAACGTGGGTTGCCTTTTTTTAGTCTAAGGTATTAGAACTAAATCTCTTCTATATTTGTATGTACTTAAATATTCGTTATTGTTTGTAGGTAGTCAATCCTTTTTCGGGTATTCTATTTCAATCAAAATTCTCTAAATTTCGTTCTTTTAACTCTGAACGATCGACTCCCAGAGGAGATTTTGTAAAATGTACAAATAAACATTACCATATTCTTATGTACTATTTATGTATTTGTACCTCATCTTAACAGGGAACATTATGGGAGCAAAATGAACTGAGTTCGTAGTAAGGAATATATAAAGCTTACTGCCGCTCGATGTTTTCTTCTTGGATTCGGTAAAGTCGTTCGAAAATTGTGCAGATCTTCCCTTTCTAACTTCATTATAAAATTATATAATAAAATACAACACCTATGAAATCGGA